TGAGAAAAAAAGGGCGTAGATTAACTGCTTTTGGAGTGCGCCGGGCAATCTCCTCCCGTTCATGTCTATCGGAGGCGGTTCACTGTGGGAACAAGTCCTGTATGGTCCTTCCAATAAAGCACACTAGACCTGGTTTTCCACATGGAGTCCTTTTCAGTTATTCTTAGCAACCAGCGATTCAATTAGCTCTCTTAATTCGAATGATCGGATTGTATACATGTGCCTTAGGGAGGGCGTGTCCATGGAGTCAGTTGTGTGCGCGCAGCAGCGGTTGCGTATCTGTGGAATTTTGCCTGCTGAGGGCAGAGACCTGGACAGCGTGTGCCTAAGAGAGACCAGAGAGCCCGAGAAAATGTTAGGGAGCCCGGCTCTAGGAATGCTTAATGCACTAGACCGCTTCTCAAATGCTTCTCACCATCAGACAGGTGGCAGTGGCGCTCACATCTATGTCTGTCACCGAGGCATCGACTGTAGAAGTTTTCTTAATATTTATAAAGTAATATTTGTAAATTTTACCAGATACAATTCCGCCTGAGCAAGTGATTCTCCTAGGCACGACCTTTTTCCCAAACCAAACGCAACCACCTTTTGTTCCAGTTTATCACCATTCGAGTAGCGATCGGGATTGAACTGAAAATAAGATTGGAGGAACGTTTTTATGATGATTTTTCAAGTACACTAAATGCGATTGCAAGTCGTAGGCGCGAGGATGAAAGTGCACATTATTTGAGTTACAAAGGGGAAACGAGCAGAAGTGATGGAAGAAAACGCCATCCGCAAGACCCTACTTTGGCGGCCGAGTTTTGGCATGAACAAAGAGAACAAAAAAGGAGATACTTCTCTTGTATTAAAGATACAAATATACTTCTTTCCGTGGACTTCTGGTTCTCGCCGGATCTACGGGAGAATGGGACCGGGAGTTAGCTGCCAATTCTTCAGTTCATCCAGCACCGGAAACGATCGAATGAAGGTTAGTAAACCTCCCTACTCCGCTCGCTGCCAGCACGGCGCCTAGCTATAGCCCGACGCGCTACTTGTCTGCGCTCCCGCATTTCTGACTGCCACCTGAGTGGGTGATTCGTCCTGCGGACACGGAGGGCCAGTAATAAATATGCCACTCAAGCCATCACTCTCCAGCAGTTTCATGTTTTTGTGAGGCGAAAATGTAACCATACTGTGGGTGTCCACTCGCAATGGCAAAGATCGTCGTCAGAGGTTCGCGGGGAGTTTCTCTATGAGGACCACACAACCATGGGCGAGACATCTGTGCTTGCTTGTTCCAGTTCATTTACGCCTTTCTACGAGGTCCCCATCGCCCTTTTGGTGCATAAGGCTCAGGCTCTCGCTCTCGGTTGTCTGATCATGGTCCCTCATAGCGCCCCTCCTTCATTCTTGTCGCTGATATCAAATCCCTCGTTGATTTTAGCTCGGTAACACAATGCTAGTTTTAGGTAGTTAGCAGCATCGCAAGCAAATTCTGGACCTCATTTACGAGTGCAGACGGCAGAATGTGTCTTTAAGTTTACAATAAGGGAGCTCCTACCTCGCAATGATCCTTGAAATATTCTCATCACTCATTATGACAGAGACTTGAGCTGTGATAGTTGTTCCTTGAGGTATCATATAGGATCCAACTGTAGTGTCTTCAGATGTGCTACGCCACAAATTCATTGTAACAAGTTGCGCGCATCTGTGAATTTCCTGAAAACCGTTATCCCGAGCTCCGTAAGACAGTGCAGGCTGGCCGTATGGGAGGAGTTTTCACCAACGCTTGCCTCCCTCATTGGAATGCCCCTTCACTGTTCGTATTAGGAAAGGGGAACAAGCGAAGCCTGACTCCGCCCACACGGCCAGCGTAGACTACACTTTCAATGATTCCTGAAAACCCAAACTTACAGTCAGTGTGGCGTTGTAGTACGGAGTATTTGGCCTATCCGCAATTGAGAGCAAGCGTCGACCTTTTGTGAGGGAAAGTAGTTCTGCCTCCACTTGCCCTTTCACCTAGAAATTATAAAAGAAATACAAATAAAGCATGGAACTAACGCAATCCCTGTACCACAATAAAACTCTCACATGCGGATGAAGAAGCAGGAAGGAAAAAGCCCATTCCAATGTTGTAATTGTAGTTTCTTGCCCAGCTATCCACAGGTCGAGCAGTGACATGACCAGCATTTCATCACTGGAAAATGGTGGATTTGAGGAAGAGAACTCTTGTGGAGAAGGGATTATATAGAGCCTCACTCAAAGCTTGTTGGTACTCCACTTTCCTTATCTTTCTTCATTTGAATCAGAAACGCATCAACAAAATCGTCGCCTTCGCCTTGTAGGACGTGAGTTCCGTTGGCTATTTCAAGTTTCCTGGAGGAAAACTCTATATGACAAGGTTCCAGTTCCATGCACACGAGTGTATCAGGCGTTAACGGCACACATCGACCCGCGGTATTCTCCACCGGTGGTTACTTTCTTTCTCGACCGGTCAGGAGTGGCGGGCAACGTAGCCTTGAGGGGCTCATTCCACGCCTTTTGTCACTGCTCCGTCTGATTACAACAATATCCGCCACGTTCAGAACTATCTCGTCAAGGTGTACAGTTGATACTGTAGCAATTAGTGGCGCGGTTCCGAGAGGGATGGATTGAGCCCACCCGCGGCCTTCCCACCAGCGGTTGTTTTCTTCCTGAATCGGTCAATAACCGATCACTATTGGTAGAAAAGGGAGCCGGGGTAAACCCATCCCACCTCTTCTCATACCACCAGACTATTTGCGACGTTATCAATTATATGTACAGTTATAATCCTATCAACTAGATGTACAATTATTATTCCTGGAAATGCGAGAGCACGTGAGGGGGCGTAAATTACAGTGCAGCCCGGGCAGCCTTTTTCACCATTTGTTGCCAACTAGCATGGCATTATTGGTGCGAAAAACCGCCCTGGTTGTGTTTCGACCAACGGCCCACCCACATACCCTCCGTTTACAGGAGTAATGTCGTACCTCCTTGCTGGTAGCTCCGCAAACATACTACTTCCGATAGTTGACTGAAAGTGTCTCCTTCCAGATCGATGGCAAAATTTTGGAGAAAGTGTAAGGGATAAGTCTCTAGAAGGGGTGGACGAAATGGGAGATAGTTAGCAAAGCTGCCCAACAATTAGAGGCTCTGATTGGGATGCGGTTTGGCTTGGGGAGGGCATATTGAACCTTCGCTAGTTCCTTCTGCTAGTTCATGGTAGTTAACAGGTTTCACTTCTCTGAGACCTGTTAATCGTGTGGAGCTGCCAAACGATGTGAGCCGCTTTGGTTGCAAAAGTTCACAAGATGGCCGTTAGGCAGCGTTCATACTTCGCGACAGCAATTGAAAGAAAATCA